TGCCGATTAGGTTATATTTTGGGTGGAGTAGGTTTCAAGATTTTTCTAGAGAATGTGTGGGAAAAAACTCTGAATTTTAAAGAAAATGAAAGTGTCCGGTCAACACCTTGTTTTTTGGAACGTTAACTGTAGTGAAATGGCAAAGAGAAAGAGATGAGGTTGGTGTATCATGTAAGAGAACATGAGATTTTCTTGAAATTTCGAAGAAATTAATTAAAATGTTCTGAAATACTTTTGAATAAATTAATACTGTTTAAAAAATTAAAGATGTGTTTGGGAATTCTGACTAGCGCAACAACCAAGACTTAAAAAAGTTATAACAATTTTAAGGTAAAAATGATTTTACGTAAACCGGAGTACAAATAATTTTGATGAACGCATACACATAACTCTAATCAATAGACTTTTTGTGTGTTATTAAATTTTCAAATAAAAACTTTTTTGAAGATGTTATGTTTTATGTAGATAAAATATAATCGAATATAAAGTTCATTGATAGAAAATTTAAAAAAAATTGAAATGGCTGAAGAAAAAACGTAATCAACAATATCGATGGATCTACCTGATCTGTAGGCTCACTACGGTGGGTGGTTTCGCTACCATATAGTGGGGGGTGTGATCTTACCGTTGTCATGTAAATCGACCTATACATCATTAGTGGGCGACCTATTGCGGACCATCGGTGTCTTCGTCGCTGGAGGTTTCATGTTGTGGCGGACCATTGACAGACAATGAGTAGAGAAATCCCGCTGCATCATTTGCTTTCGCCGGCTTTAAGTTATGGAATTTTGGTTTTCTTTGTAATGGGTTGGAGAGAATGTATTAATTAGCCACAAGAATGAAGGGTTTGGTTCTCCTGTGGAATGGACTAATGAGGAGCCGAGTGGGGAGGGATGCATTTTATTGGGCCTCAGACTCTCTAACAGCACTAGACTAATAATGAAAAGTCTGTTAAAATGCAAGGCTCCTAGAAATTGGTTGGGCAATGGTCCAAGCTCACAATTTGCCAAATATGGTTACACATTTCCACATATTTGCACCCCCTGGTTTGTCTGTTTACCCAGGCAATTCGTTAAAACAATGCAATTCGTATAACCCTATTACATATTTACTAAAATAATTTACCTTCAATAAAATTACTTTTGAAAAGGGAAAATTATTTGGCAAAATCATTTGTGTATCATGCGGGTAAATTACTACCAGAAGAAAAAAAATTTAAAAGGGGTTAGTGTGAGACAGAAAGTGCCAATTCTCAAACAATCATTAACAATTTCAGATGTTAGCTTATTATTCCAATTTCGGAAGCGATAATACCCAAACATGACTATAAATAAAAATTAAAGACAATCATTGTCGCGTCTTTGTTTGTTATTGAAAAAATATGTTTTTAGTCATGATTAACTTTATGCAATTGTGTTTAAAGTAACAGCCAAGCATACAAAATATATATTGCAAATGATGACAGAGGAACAAACGGTGATATCAAGAATTTGTGTATAAAGAAGTGTTTCATAATGTTTTTGAATGGAATATAATGGGGTAGAAACATTGAAAACTTATGGACGCGGTGACATTTTCGTAATTATGATGGAGAGCTTTATAAGTTTATGATTTATTGGTTATAAGTTACTATATATATTCAGTCTATAAGTTTACTGGGTTGCAAGATCACATGCAAATCCAAGGGCTGAAATTACTTCTCACTTCACATTTTAAAGGGCACTTCTCACCTGATCTTCTCTCTCTCTCTCTCTCTCTCTATATATATATATATATATATATATATATATATATATATATATATGTGTGTGTTCAGGTGAGAAAAGCATCTTAGAAGAGAAATAAGAATAAATAAGGACCACTGGATCACACAATTATTTTAATTGATTAGATACTCCGTATAAATTCACTATAGTAATTCCAATGCCTTCCCATAACCGACACCCTTTAATTTAGGTAGTGATAATATTGCTTCCATTAGATTTTTTCCTTGCCATATCTGATTTCATTCTTCATCTCTGTCTCATTTGTTTGAGTTTGTGTTTCTTTGTGAAAGCCCGAAAGGAACTCATATCAAAATATCATGAAAATCTTAGGGTACATGATCAATTGGGTCTCTGTTAGTAGGCTTCTATTGAAAACTCTATCAGATCAACCATGTTCATGTTTTACGAATCAAACCATAATACCCTGGACTCTGTTTAAATTAGGTATTATGTTTTGATTCGTAAAACAGGAACACGGCTGTTTTGATTCATAATACGATCAACACTTAGATTTTTTAAACTGTATGTAAAACTGCTGCATAAGTGTAAGAAATCACAAATTAATCTACAAACACATTAGTCCATACTCCACTGTTGAGCACAATCCAATGCACTTGGAAAACAAAACAATCAAAATAAGCACTCTCTAATCTCACTCTTTGTTTTCAGTAAAGAAATTAACACTTCCTAATCAAACATAGAAAAACTAAGGCTCCATTTGGTTGTAGACCTATTCTCCTCTAAATAGCTTAGGTGGCTATAGACTTTGATGTTACTCCTTTTAGATGTGCAATATCAGCAAAGTAAATACAACATAACGAACCTTAATCCAATTTTTTCTGGATCTTGATCCCCATTGAGTTAGCACTTGGCAAGTTGGCAGTGCCGATAATAGGTTTACAAATGGACTCTAAAGACATCATCATAAACTGTCACCAGTCATGACCAACAGCTAGAGCAAGCATTAGCTTCTTTGCAGCAATACCTAACATCATCATAATTTGATATCTCTGGTAGTCAACAATAAGCCTGTTAGATTAAGATATGCATTTATTCATTCGGGATGACCGGTAACATCGATGATGCTTTTCATCTAGAAAAATCAAACATGATCCAGTAATACTGAAAAAGCTAAAAGCAAATGGAAAATAATGAGAAAGAGTATAGTTGTATCGGTGCCCTTATTTATTAATTGTAATTCTGGAAGGATTACTAAAATGGAAAACAATAGAAAAACAATTAATAATCAAAGTGGAGAAACCGACTAAAGGCACAAAGAAGCCATTCTGAACTAGTTTAGGTCTAAGGTTGAACCGAACCATTTCAATAGTCACGGTACGGTTACGAGTTCAACAAAATCTTGGATCGGATCGGACCGTGCCCACCCCTAGGAAAATCAGTGCAGCGAAAAAACTTTGATGCTTCTTGTGACTCATCATCAAGAATAAAGTTCTAACAAACTCGGAAAGAGCTAAACGTCACCTTACGAAGAATAGTCTCTACCCCATATGTAACTGCAAGGAAGACATCGCCCTCCACCTGTTCCGGGATCAGATTGTTCTTTTATTATCGAGTGTTGTAGACGTTCTTCATGCTAGGGTGCTCATTCTTGATTGTAGGAGATTACTTGAGGAAGAGCTTTTTATTTTTTTCAACCCACCATGGGGGGAAGGCAATGGGGTGTTTGGTTGCTAGCTTATCAGCTATATTTTGGCTGTTTTGACTATTAAATGGCTTTTTGACCATTTCAAACTGCTATTTAGGTGTTTGGTGAATCAGCCTCTTCTATTAGCTTTTCATCTCAATCAGCCAAAAACCAAAACTCCAATTTTCCTAGCGTTTTCATTTGGCCGTTTGAGTTTATTTATTAAAATACGGATTTGGCCTTGTTTTTAAATCATACTCCGTACGTAACTCTTGCACAAAAATCAAAGATCCTTTGTAAATCAAAGAAAAACACAGTCTTGTGGGTTGTTTAATAATATCAATTCAACAATTTTGTTAGAAATTCTTTTAATATATAAAATACATTACTAAATGTACTTCGTATAAGTGATGACATTAAATTTAGCAAGAAATGAATAAATACATTACAATTAAACTTATTTGTCCATAAATCTGGGGGCCTGCTCCGGATAACCTATTGAACCCCTAAAAAACGGCTCTGGGTAACATTAATATTTAAATACATTTTTCATTTTTACACAACTTTTCTTGGTATAATCCTATTAAGTCTTGAAAACAATGTTTAAAATACTTATTACTTGTGTTAATACATTTTTATACATTTTTTGAAATCATAAATAGGGTTTAAGTAGCTGTACTAATTAAATTAATAAAAAAAATTGATGTCCTTAAAAGTCATTTAACAAATTATCAGCTAATTATAAGTAGTCATTTAACAAAACACCATCTTACAAACTGCTAATCCTACCAGCCGATCAAAACAGCCAACAGAACCTGCTACCATCAATCAGCTAACACAATCAGCCAACAGCTAACAGCCAACGGCCATTTGCCGAACACCTCCAATAAATGTGTAGACAGGTTAGCAAATAAAGCACATGAGGTCGCGAATGGCTTGTCTATTTTGGAAGCAACGCCGAAATGGATCAAACAAACTTTGTAGGAAGACGCAAACAATCTTGAAGAGATTAGATTTTGATTTGCTTTCTATTTTTGTTTTCTTTCCGTGGTATAAAAAAGAGAATCTGAAAACGCTGTTTTCAAAATGTATAAAAAGAAGAATTTTTTTTAATGTACATGATTTGTACACAAAGTGTGCGCAAAACAAAACCTCCATAAGTGTCTATGTACACAGACAATTCATATGAAAAAGATAGAATTTGATGCCAAAATCCTCTAATTGTTTGTGCGTACGAGCGATATACTCCCTCCGTATCTATTTACTTGTCACATTTTTCTTTTTTGGTGTATCAAATTAGTTGTCTCCTTTCCTTTTTTAGAAAGAATATCACTCAAGAAACAGCTACAATATCATTACAGTACCAAAAATCTCTTAATTTTTATAAAGTCCAATAATTTCGTGAAAAGCATATTAGTTGTATAATTATAATTAGATAGGGAGGGAGTATAATTTGCGTACACCTTTAGTGCGCCACTAATAGCCCTAAAAAGAAACCTAAAATCATAGAAAATCAACGTGAACGTTGCAAGAGAACCCACCCGTATGTGGCGGCTTCGTAACCGCAATTCAATATTAGGGCAATAATGACGCAGTTAAAACCATTATGGATAGCTGCAATTTCTAACATTCAGCCGTTTTGTCTTCTTCCCGAACAGATAGATATACTCCGTACGAAAGACGCTTCCACCGGCGAGCCAAAGTTCGTCGTTTGATACCGCTTGCGTTTGTTGGTTTCATTGTCTTCTGCACACAACTCTCCAGATTTGCCGATAAAGTTGAGTTACTGAATGGAGCAGCCTTTCCACAACCACCACCAAAGGTACGTTTACCATCCTCCCAGCTTTCCCGATTCCCCTAATTGCTTTCACCGCCCGCCGCCACCCCCGCCGCCTCATCCCAACCTCCATCCCCCACTGCCTCCATCTCACCATTACCATCACCCCCTCCCTCCCTACACCCTTCCATTCCATTCTGTTCCCCATCCTGAAAACCCCCGATTCTTGGATTATATTCACAATCGCGATTCCTCGCCGACACCACACCCCATGCGAACCCTAGATCCTTGGGCCGATGTGGGCCCTAGGTTGCCACTTCATCAACCCCCTCGTCACCATCAGCCCTCTTTTTTGCTGCCCCTTGATGATCAGAATGATAATTATGGGTTCGCGAGAGATGAGTTTTTCATCCCGAAGAATGGGTTCAGAGGCGACCAAGAAAGGATTTGGGGCCGTCAGGATACAGAGCTTGATAATGTTGATGTGTTCAGATTCAATAGGGAGAGACCAATCCAACATAGACTTGATATCAGGGACGATAGAGAAGACCTCAGGTGGGGCTATGAAGATGTTACTGATGTTATGGACTCCTCGTCCAGAAGAAGGTTGTCCTCAGATAATGGTTATGCTTTTGACCACAAAAGGCTTAGCAATAGGGTAAGAGATGGTATAGAAGAGTTGCATAGGTCACCTAGGAAGAAGAACGCACAGAAGAGGAGTGCACCCCATACAATTCCATTAGGAAAGGCTAACCATAGGACTAGAAATCAAGACTGGCATTCCTCTAATGGATACGTTGATAATTCAAGTGTAGCTGGCTCAAGGGGGAATTTGAGAGAAGGCATTGCACGGTCTGGGAAAAGAGAGGAGGAGAGGGAGAACAGTCCAGTGGAGCTTGATGTTTCATTTAAATCTAATGCACTTGTGGCAAAGGCTATTGTGGCTCCCTCAAGCCCAGTAGTTGATACAGGTAAAAATGGTACTCCTAGAGCTCGGAAGATTAGGAGACTTAAGATGCCTGACACTGCACAGTCAAAGCTGAGTGAAAAATTGGGAAAGCTTGAAAATTCAGCAAATGGGTTAGATTGTCCATTAAGTTCTGGGCCTTCTGGTAGTGAGAAGGAAACTGATATTGCCAGCAATACATGTACTCCTTCTAAGGAACAGGTACATGATCAGGTCACATATGGTGTTCAAAATGATAAAACACCTTTGCGAAAAAATCGATGCAAGAAGAAAGTTATGGCCTATGTCATGAAGAAAAATAGTTTTCTGGATAAAGGGGATAGTGCTAATCTGGTTATTGGTGCGGACATATCTGTAGATAAGTTGTCAGTCTCTGAATTGAATGGGGATTCCTTACGTGCAGATGAGAGAATTGCGTCTGATGGTATGAAACAAGTGCAGGATTCTTTTTCATCGCATCATTTGACTGAAGAACTAGCCATTGACAAGATCTATGAACCTCTAGAACCTGTTGTCTCTGGTTCAGATGCTTCTAAAAATGACTCTAGTAGCCTATTTAAGTCAAAGAGAAAAAGGAACTGTTTGTCTGTGATCTCTGTTTCTGAGAGCCTGGTGGACCCTGAGATTAAAGAACATACTTTTCCTGAGAGCAAATTACTTGAAAACTGTCAACTGCTTGATTCTGAGACATGCATAATTGAACCACAGACGACAGTCACTAGCTCAATTATTGATAAGGAAACTAAAGGGCAGCATTTTCAGAATCATGCTTCAATGCTTAAGACAAATCTTGTTCCAGATTCGAATGGGCATATGCTTTCAATAGGAAATTTTGGTCTTGCACACTCCTCATACTCAGATGAAACTATTATTCATAAGGGTGGCATGTGCATACGCTCTTCAACTGAAGATGCATGTGCTGAAAGGACTGAAAACATTGTTGCTGAGGGGGGATCCTTGTATGCAGGTTCTGAGCAATCCTTTGACAATACTTCGACTGTTCCTGACACAGATGCAATACCCAATGGACCTCGGGATAGTGATCTGTTGGTCCGAGATATTAGTAATGTCAGTTCACTAAATAAGGAGGAAGGGTTCTTAAGTGCGAGTATCTCCAACCCGTGTTCCAGTAGCAGGGTAATTTCTGATAATGGTTGTCCTTGTACGGACAAGAAAGCTCTTCCTGAAAGTTGTTTCCCTAATATTATTGATAGAGTAGCCGGGCCCCATCGTGATGCCTCTCCTATTCCATTGCTTTGTGTTGAGGATCATCACGACCCGTGTCTGGGCAAGGAATATTCACCTGAGATGAAAATAAAGAGGAAAGTAAGTGAGATGCTGTCGAAATCCTCCTGTCTGAGGACAAGTGAGGACCCTTGTAGGTCTATGGTTTTGAGTTTGGGTATGAATCATGCCTCTAATGAAAGTAATGTTACGGCTCCCGGAAATGGAGATTGCTCTTTGGATGGAGGCCAGTCACTTCAAGAGTGTCCACAGAATGATCTTTCAGTTCAAGGGGATCTTGAAACTGGTTCAATTGTAACATCTCCCAGGAATTTGAAGAAAAGGAAGATCTCCTCCCCTACAATGGGTCACTCTATTCTTTATGAGTCTCTTGAAATGATTGATGAAGCTAATATGTCAGCACCAGGGCTTTCCAATGGTGGCAATGCTGTAACACACACATTGTCTCAAGCACTAGATAATTGTTGTGCTGCTCTGCCACCGTGTGCAAGACCGATGGAAAATTTAAATGAGAAGAGTACTACCAGTGGATCATTTCAGGCTGAGTCTACCCAGGTTGGCCCTCCAGAGGTTTTGTCAGATCTAGAGCATGTTCCATCTTTCCCATCCCATATGCTAGCTAGTGAAAAAGAAGCTACTGCAGCTGTTTTAAGGAGCGGTGATCAAAATGGTATACTGGATAGGGCAAGTAGGATATGTGGGCTAACATCTTTGGATGATATGGTACCAACTGAAGGAGATAGTGAAAGCCATGATGGTTTGCCTGCTTCAAACTTCAGTGCGGAAATAAAAAGTTGCATTTTCGACATGTCACCTTTAAATTCATCATCTTGTCAAGTATCAAATGGAGTTCTCTCTCAAGTAAACCGAAATGTGACCGAAGCTTCAGTTTCTACGGTTGATACAATACCTTTATCTGGCAAAAACTCTCCAGATAAATCTAAAGCTGATAGTGACGCAGTTAATGAAAACCTATCATTGAACAAAAGACCACCTTTGTGCCCGGTCAGTGGCAACCTACCAATAATATCTAGGAGGCCATCTTCCTTGCCAGATGCTTGTGAACCTCTGCAAACTTTGAAATATGTGCCAATTAAGTCAAATTTTAAAAAGAGCAAGATGAGCTCTGTGGTCCTCAGGGGTTCCTGTAGTAGTTCAGCTGTAAGCTTTATGACTCCAAAGAGAGCTGACTTATCCAAACATGCTGCAAAGTCACGGACTTGGCATCGAACTAGTAATTCCTCATCTGCCCCATGTTTTGGGCCTCAAGTTACCTCTATTCGCCCACAGAACCAAAGACAGAGTGAGGTAACAGGCATTCACAATTCTTACATCCGCAAGGGTAACACTCTTGTAAGAAATTATTCATATGTTGGCAATGTGGCACCTGGATTCCATGCTTCTAGTTCCTCTGTTTATAGATTGAGCTCTTCAAATGTAAAGGATGCTAAGAAGTTCAAAAGTGATAATGTGGTAGAAATTACTGATCAATCAAGTTGCTTGAAACCCTTCGAGCCCAATAGTGCTTTTCCTCAGAGTCTCAACAGTGAATTGTTAAATTCAACTGGTAACATCTTAGGCAACCCAGCATCTTTGCCAGGAGCGGATAAGTCTGGGAGTTGCAGTCTTGGTATAGAAGTAGTGACAGGTGTAACAAGTGTGCATAGACATTCTGAAGATGCTCTCAAAATATATCAGTGTCAATCTGATCCAATCAACAAATTAGAGAGTGAGAACACATCAAGTGAAGGGAAGTCGAGAGAACAGACGTTTTATTCGGAGCAAAGATCACACCAGCTTGTTGCAGCTCCAGATGCAACCCCAACATCATCTTCTGATGGCTATTATAAAATGAGAAATAATCAGCTGGTTCGAACAATTACGGAAAACCATGTCAATCCGAAAGTTGCTGCGAATGGTGATAGCATAAACCCAAAGAGGCAGGGGGCTGAGAAGGCTGTCCCCAAGAAGCGTTCTGGTAAGAATGTGTTTCAAGACCCCCCCCCCCCCCCCAAAAAAAAAAAAAATCCCATATCATAGAACCATTTTCTTTTGAACAGTTTTTAATAAAAACAACTAAATGTAATTTTTACTTCTCAAAATTGTCTCTGAAGCAGAGTGAACTGTGTCAAGTGATTTACAAATTTAAGAGAATGGGTGGATTAGGAAAACTAAAAAGTTAGTCATGTTCATATGATGAAAGTGAACATTATCCGAGACAGTTAAGTACAGTTAATATTAGTCAAATCATGTTCATATTATGAAAGGGAATTCAAAAGTGTAAGTACAGTTAATTTAGAACTCCTTGAGTACTATCGTTGAAGGTGTTTCTTCATAAAACGTTGTATTCATTTTATGTGTAAACAGATTTTCTTTTCTAATTTATAATTTGACTCCTCAGGTAACTTGTTTCTCACTGCATAAGAATTCATTGAGGTGTAATCCTATGTGCAGGTTCACCAGATGCATATAAAAGTTCCAAGTTCTCATTAGTATGGACATTAAGTGGTTCAAAATCATCAAGGGGAGATGGTAAACCTATAACTATTAATCATAAAGTCCAGCCCTACTGGTGTTCGTGGAAAAGGTATACAAATTTGAGGAGTTTCACTCATGGTTTAGCCTCTGTTCGGAATGTTGGTGCTATGTCTACAATCAGGTTGGAAGGATGTCAATGTTTCATGTTTGGCTTTTTTCTATTTCCATCCTGGTAGAGTAATGAAATTAGTATGTGTTTTCTATTTTAGTCGCAAGCTGCTGCTCTCAAGAAAGAGACATACCGTTTACACTAGATCGGCTAATGGACATTCTCTGCGAAGGTCCAAAGTATTAAGCGTTGGCGGCACAAGCTTGAAGTGGTCAAAATCTATTGAGAGGAACTCAAAAAAAGCTGATCAGGTTGGCTAGCAGCATTATCTAAGTCATTTAAATGGGTGTTGAAGAGGCCAAAGAAGCTGTTTTCTGCTTCTAGTTACTTAGAATTCATGTTATAGTTTCTTCACAAATTATGCACAGGAAGCTACATTAGCTGTTGCTGCTGCAGAGAAGACGAAAAGGGGCCAAAACATTATTGCCACTTCTAATTCGAAGAGCAGAAATAGTGTTTCCCGTAAGTCTTATAACGTTACACTTCTTCCAGGTAATAATGCCCTCAATTCTTGATCTGACATGTGCGTGTATATATATACCGCAGAAAAGTATCCATTCATAAGGACTGAATCTCAACTGTTAGATTTAAGATAAAACAGTTACGGGCACGCTAAATTCTGTGTGTATATAATTACATGTTATAGCAGAAGTATCTTTATATCATAGGTAAATGGTAATACATATTGATGTTATTTCCACATGTGTGTAACTGTGTATTGCTTGCAACTTGTTTTTCTGGGTATTTAAACTTTTGTTGTGTAAACGTCTTTGCATGCTCATATTTTTTCTCTTCCCATTTTTGTTAATGTGCCCTATCTGGGTGTTATTTGCTGAATGTTTATATAACCATATCTGCACAATTCACAGGAGAGCGGATCTTCCGTATTGGTTCAGAACGTTACAAAATGGACCCGTCAGGGAAAACTCTTCAAAGGATATCAAGTGGTCTGATCCTGATTTACTGAATATGTTCACCCCCTCCCCCACTCACTGGCACCTCCCCATTTCATTATATACTACCTCCGTCCCGAAAAGAAGTTCCCACTTTCCATTTATGGATGTCCCATAAAGAAGTTCTCATTTCTGTAAAAGGAAACCACTTTTAACCAAAAAGTCACAACTACCATTATTTTTTACCCACTTTTTGCTTGATTTGACATAAGGCAAGGGTATACTTGAAAAGTCAAATCAAAACTCTATCCTACATAAATATGTGTGTAGGCCAAACCGTGAACTTCATTTCGGGACAGAGGGAGTATATTTTATTTCACAGCATGAAAGAGTCCTGTTAAATTCTGTTCTCTCTTATTTCTCTGACTAGGTGCTAATGTGCTATTAGATGTCATATATGACATGTACTTTAGGCTGTGTTTGGTAGGGAGAGAAGAAACAATGAGGGAAGTTATGCAAGTGAGAAAAGCAAAGAAGATAATGTGAGAAATAGATAGAAATATATAAGGCTGTTTGGTTCTCGATAAATAGATTGAAAATAGTGAGGAAAGGTATGAGTTAAAGTGGTTTGCTACTGTGTAAGTTAAAAACAGTAGAAAAGATTTCAGAATAGAAGTGTGATGAATTCAACACGGGAGTAGGGGTGGGGTTTCCATGGCTGTGCCACCGGCAGGACCCAAAGACAAAAAAGAACTGAACTGTGTAAACCCCTTCCTGCCTCACACCATTTAAGCATTGGAAACACTGTACTGCAGTACACTTGTAAAACTTATGTTGATTTTAAATTCATCGTTGTCCCTCTTTTATGGGTTGGAGTACATTACTGCAGAGAATTTATATAAATATAGACCCCACCGCTCTGTTTACAGATGAAGAACCAGAAGAGAGTATTCTTCGATCAGAGAGTAATGTAATGACATCATACATTCCAAGGAGATTGCTGATTGGCAATGATGAGTAAGTGTACTTAAAAATCCATACTTTTTGAACTTTTGACATTGTACATTTTTTTAATATTTCAATTTTTTTAATCGGTTTTACTGTAAAATACATGCATAACATGTCTTCCTTAATCAAGGCATGTCTGGTTTTCTATGATTAATTGGTTGCATCACTCAAATCTTAAAAAAGATGTACAAACGAATTATTTTCACTTTTCATTTACTTATCAGCATTCCTTTGACTGGTATATATTCAAGTAAAAAAGGTTAGCACATAATATGCTGCTGCTGTGTTTATTTCTGCTTTATATTTGGTTTGCTCCTTTTCTTTGGACTGTTTTGTAGATATGTACGTCTTGGAAGTGGTAATAAGTTGGTCAGAAATCCAAAAAGAAGAGTCCGCATCTTGGCAAATCAGAAAGTTCGTTGGAGCTTGCACACTGCTAGGTTGCGGCTGGCTAAGAAGAGCACGTATTGCCAATTTTTCACCAGGTTTGGTAAATGTAACAAGGATAATAGAAAATGTCCTTACATCCATGACCCCTCTAAAATCGCAGTGTGCACCAAGTTTTTGAGTGGTTCATGCTCCAATCCTGATTGCAAGTTAACCCATAAGGTAATCTAGTCTCTTGACCAGTATTAACATTTGGTAGTTGATTTTTTTTGCTGTATTGCCTTCATTTTGTTCTCTTATTTAAAAATGTTCACATGTATACATACGTAATATAAATAAAAATATAATATATTTATATATACACACTTTATATATATAAATATTATATATATAGATATTGTTGATTTTTTTCTGATGGGTGCTCCATACATAGGTCATTCCTGAGAGAATGCAAGATTGCTCTTATTTTCAGCAAGGTATGCATTGCATCATTACAATTTGGAATGATATTAAATCAATAAGGTCGTAATATGTACTAATAAGTAATTTTGACAGGATTATGCTCTAATGAGAATTGTCCTTATAGACATGTAAATGTGAATCCCAATTCATCTGTCTGTGAAGGTTTTCTCAGGGGTTACTGTTCTGATGGAGATGAGGTATTTTTGTTTAATTTCTGTTTCCACCTACAATAGTGGTCAAGAATTGACTTCTACATATTGTATAACATGATCATTTTATTAGTTTAGGTCTTGATGATGGACAGAGTGAAGAGTATAGGTGGGAAAGGGGATGAAATTTTGCAAAAATATCATAGTAAAAGAGGTTAACAATGTATCATTTCATCAGGGCGGTTTGTGAGAAAATTGAGTTATTGAAAGGATTTTATTTGTTTAACTACTCCTAGAGCTAGCTTTTTCATATTAAGAAGACAATGTTTCGTAGATTTAAAAAAACTGGGCTGTATACTTTCATTATTCCCTCCGTCCCATGGTTTTCTTCATGCTTTCCATTTTGGGTTCTTCCAAAATCTTCTTCTCTTCATTAAGTAAAGAATTGTTGATGTTGTTCCCTTCTTTTTTTAATAAACATCAACCAAACAGTTTTCATTTCTTTTAAGCATGCAAAAATAAATGGGGGGGATTATGGGTGTGGTGGACTATAGTATATTCCTGTGTGTATCATCTTGCTGTTAGCAGTCACCTGGTTTTACTTCTATATGTTGGTTTGTAGACACTTGATTGCTTCCGTTTTCTTAGTTCCATGATAACTGTTCATTTTTTTTGTTTCAACTCTTTTCCCCAATGTGGTAGATGAAGTTGTTTACAAGGACACCCATCTGCAAATCACTCTGCTCTCTCCATCCTCTCTCCCTCTTCCACTGCCCATGATCTCCCTATTAATCTTTATGTACACACATTGTGTGTGTGTGTGTGTCCGTTCACAGAAACACACAACCTCACTAATGCTATAACCCGTGAAATGGATTGTATGTCTAAACTTTGCAGTGCCAGAGGAAACACAGTTATGTATGCCCTAGTTTTGAAGCAACTGGAGATTGCCCTCAAGGTTCCAAGTGCAAACTTCACCACCCGAAAATCAAAAGTAAGAGAAGAAAATGGAGAGGAGCTTCTTCCAATGAAAAGAAGAACGACCTGGGTCGTTATTTTGGTTCTCCACATATTGACCTCGCTGAGTGCGTACAAGCCTTATCAGGCAAGCCTTCTGTGGAGGGTGATGAAGGAGATTCTTTTTTCAAACAAGGGAGGTCCGTTGAGTATATTAGCTTAGGTGTTGTTGACAGTGTTAAGGAAGGTGAAGATATGATGGTCATTGATCAGGTTAATGAGGAAACATGTGAGGGGGAGGGTGGTGTCTGTTCACCTTTTTCTCAAATAGTCGATTTTGATGAGCTCATCAAGCCCATTCGGCTACTCAATCAGGGGAGTAACAGAATGAGAGATTCCTCCATTGACAGCCCGAGTGAGTTGAGCGTAAGTTATGTTTCAGAAGAGTCTCATTGTTGTAAGTGAAGGCTTTAGTTTTTTTGTATTTAGGTTTAGTTTTCAGAACAATTATTTTGTTTGTAGAATTGTAGGTAGGTTTAGTTAGTATTTAGGTCTAGGTTTTAGGGTTAGGTCAAGGTTTGGTTGAGCATTTTTGTCAACTTGTCATTTGAATCAAGACAAAACAATATTATTGGTTATTCTTAGTGAGCCCAATCTCATTTTTACCTGTATTGACCAAGGGAGTAACGTGTCGAGTGTATCTCTATATCCCACGTTGGTAGGGGTGAACCTGGTTTTGAACCAGACTGGGCTGGAATCAACGGGTAGGACAGAACTTGCGCCCTTTTTCGGATTCAGATCCTCCAAAATAGGGCCAGAGTTGAACGGAATTGACTGGAAAACACAAACCTAATTGTTCTGAACTTCTGTTAAGATGTTGGTTTTTCCTTAATCCTACTGGAGATCAGCTGGTTCTGGCCAGAACCAGTCCAGTTCCACCCCTGCACAACTATTTCCAATTTGTGTACAAGTATGAGTTGAGGAATGTTTGGGGTTTTATTAACTTTTAAGTGGAAGCAACTTTGATGATAATCGAGTAATCTGATATCAATTTATTAATGTGAAATGGGTTGAACAGATTTAATGCACCAAACCCTTTTGTAGTATTGTGCTATAATTATTCATGCGCAAAAACCTTTTTATGAACAAATTCAATTGTCAAAAGAAAAATGATCAGAGATATTGACAAATTATACAAGTTATAACCTGTTCTATGATTTTTAATGGAAGAGGCTTAAAGTTATATCAAAAACTCATAGAACATTTACCAGACAAGCACCCGAAACATAAAGGGAAGGATTGCCCCTCGAAACATCAATCCAGCTCATCACAAAAGTAAAATGCATCCTGATGTCTTGACTTCATCATCATCATTACCTCAATGCTGCAAAGGCTCCCACAGTCCCACCTACGGTTGGGGATGGATTGGGATTAGTCGGCCAGACCTGAGCCCGATACTATTTAGGCCCGGCCTGACCTGCTAATGTATAGGTCCGGTCCCGACCCATTGGCTATAAGGGCGGGCTTCGGGCTCATTTTTTGGGCTCAACCCTTTCGGTCCCGGGCTCGATTGCACTATTTTTAAATTTATTACAGAATCCCGTCCCGGCCCATTGCTGTTTAGGCCCGGTTCGGTCCCAATGCAAACTCAGGCCGATACCGGGTCTGAAATTTTTAGGGTCGAGACCGCCCAGTCCTAGTTCGGAGCCCGGACCGACCCGGTTCTGGTCCATCCCTACCTACGGTCGGGTAAGGGGGTCGGGCTTACGTAGTTTTACCCTTGTACTAAATCACGTAGAGATTGTTTCCGGATGATCCATAGTGAAATTCGCGTCGAAATTTGCATGGGCTGTCTGCTGCTTCTATGCTTTGTTCTATTATTTTCCCAAGCCAAAAAATAGGAGCCATTAGCTCCTTTGCAAATGATGAAAAATCTTAATGTCTTCTTGACTGATGAAATAAAAACAAATCAATAATAGAAAACTAACATAGTCGGGGAATAAAATTGGAAACTAAATAAATTTGCCAACTCACACAACAAGTTTTCAATTTTCTCGACGAGCCAGTTATCCAGAGCTCGCTCCAATCCCGTTTTTACGAAATTATTATCCCGATCCAGTTCATCACCGCCACAGTCACCCCTTCTCTCGTTGCTAAGGGAGTAGAGAATCAAGAACATCATATTGAAATCTCGAGACGCATCCCATTTGTTTTTTCTCCTTCAATGCTTATGCATATATAACCATAATATTAAAAAAATGATTTTCAAATTGTTAAACTTTTTTAAGAAAAGGGTTCTGTGCACGAATACTTATATTATAGGGGTTTTGTCGTATTTTTTAAATCACACAAGTCTAATGAGTTGAATATTTATATCATAAGATATTTGGTGCATTAAACCTGAGTTATGGCGTAAATTATATCCTACATCCGGATGTACGTGTACATCCGGTTATTTTGTACTCCCTCCGTCCCAAAAAGATGGATACATTTTGACTTTTCTTGGTCAATGATGGTTAAGTTTGACCAATGATATCTTTTAATACAAAATTATTTAAAATATGAAAATTATATGAACATATTCTTTATTAAAAAATCTTACATAAAAGTGTAAAATTTATAAATTACAAACAAATATAATACCTAAAATCATTGTCTAAACTTTACCACCATTGACCAAGAAAAGTCAAAATGTATCAATCTTTTTGAGACGGAGGTAGTAATTGTTAGCAACTTTAAGTCTTTGCTCTCTCATCTTCAATTCCTTCTCGCTGGATCTCCATTCCATCTTCTTTCCTCTTTCGCCGTCTTCCTCTTTTCCCTTTTCTCGTTGGATCTTCGTTCCATTTTCTTTTCTTTTCTCTTCAGCCACCATCTCCTTTTCTTTCGCCGCCATACTCTTCGTTCCTCTTTTCGTTGTCATTCCTGATTGTTACTTTTTAGTTTTGTCTTTACTTTTATTGATAGTTGGTTGGTTTGACTTCCTTTTGTTTTGTCTTTTTCTTTACTTCTTTCTGATTTGTTTTTTTAGTTCTTTTCTGATTTGTTGTTTACTTCCTTTTCTTTATATATTAATCAATACTGAACATATTAGAAATGAGGTTTACTTTATACTCAAATGAGTAAAACGCCTAAAAAAATGAACATACAGAAATGTGTTTTTGAATTTTTGGATACTCATTTTGTAAGTTATGTATGTTCATTTAGTATTTCTGTCATGCTCATTTTTAAAATGTTTTAGCAATGTATATTTTAAAAGTCTCATATTACATTAGATTTATATAGGAGTTCATTATAGACACGATACCACAAATCATGATCAATACTTAATTGCAAATTCTAATACTCAATAACGGAGATTTGATGCTCATTGAAAATGTCTTGACGCTCAACGAACAAAACTTACAATTTTCATATTAATGCTCATCTTACAAGTTGCATATGCTCATTTTTATAGGTCTGATACTCATTTTTATGTCACCGAGGGAGTAATAAATATCTAGATGTCTAAATAAGGTCATAAGGATTTTAACTTTTTAGTACGTGGTATTTGATTTAACTTGCTGAATGGCTAAATGCCTATATACTCCGTAGTACATAGTACATACTAATTACAATTGGGTTTGTGTGATTGCAAGTGAACTGATGTCTACTACAATTGTAAAGTTAAATAGTACCGAGTAGTATTTAACATGCTAAATTTATGACTAGTAGTATAATTTATTTATTTATTTTGGGTTAATATTGCTATATTGGTAAAAAAAACCGGTATGGTGTTGATGAGATTATATGATATAGACTTGAATTGTAATATCAATGCATATTTCAAAAGTATCATATTACATTAGACTCTCATATTGAGATTAATAGGAGTGTATTATAGATATAATTTAATAAGCTTTTATAAAAGAAAAAATAAGAAAAAGAAAAAAGAATTAGAAGATATGAAGCAGGGATCATGATACTCATTGTTAGTCTCATAAATACTCAATAAAATAGGTCTGATGTTCATTAAAAGTACAATATTGCTCATTTAGCGGAAGCCGTGATTTTTTTCTTAAATTACAAAAATGCCACCGATTTTTTTTGACCTGTATTAGTTTTAGGCGTGTTTTAATTTTGGGCCGTTTACTGTAGTCTTTTAGTGATCCAGTCCAGTCCATTATAATACTTCTGATGGGCCGGATGTACGATGCCTACGTACATTATAATATACCAACTGGAGTTATGGTGCCATTTGGGTTATGGTGCCAATTGACACCATGTTTACATGGATAAATTGAAACATTCAAATATGACACCACATTTATTCTTAAATATGTGGTGTCAATGATCACTTTATTTATCTCACTTCTCGCCTATTTGTCATGTTTGAGTGACACAAAAATTTATAAAATAAAAATACTATATAATCTTAAAAAATAAACACCACTTAGAAGTTTGTTTAGAGAGATTATTAAACTGTGTCGGAATCAAATGGTTTTATTGTTATTTTGCATTGGTTCCATAAGTTTTAGTTCCATAAGTTTCGAAAATACTTCGTACATGTTTTGTCAGGTGATTAAAAATGTACTCCCCCGTCCCCTAACTTTGTCCCATTTTACTATTTTTGTACGTCTCATTAAGTTTATCTCACACCATATTTGGTAATATTTCTGTGGCTACAATTCGTTTTTACTTTATTCACACTATCAATTCAATATCAACCACAGAATTCTACTTTTTCTTAAAAATCACATCACACATCTCTGTGCCAAACTTAGGGGGACGGAGGTAGTATATGAAATCAATGTTAATAATGTATATGAAGTCAATATTGGATCATTTGTAGACATTAAGCTAATTAATAAATTTCTAAGCATTTAACAGAAAACTACAACATAGGCTTGGACTCGGGTCGGGCCACCCGGCCCGTGGACCGGCCCGCTACTGTGCGGGACCGGCCCGCTACTGTGCGGGACCGGCCCGGTTCTCGGGTCCGGGTCAGGCCTAGGCCCGGGGGGTAGAGCGGGTCTGGGCTCGGGTCTCATTTTTGGTGAACCGGCCCGGCCGGGTCGGGCCCGGGCCAAATTGATTTTTTTTTTCCATTTTTGGGGTTCCACCCGGGTTGGGCTTGATGGGTAGGATGGGTTTGGGGGGGTTTGGGAGGGTGGGGGGTGAGGGGTTAGGAAAGCAAAAAAAAAAAAAACCAAACCGGAGGCCCGGCCCGGACCCGAGTCCACCCCTACTACAACATGGTCACCTTTGTCAGTAGGGGTGGACTCGGGTCCGGGCTGGGTCCGGGGCCGGGTCGGGCCGGCGGTTCAGGAGTGGTGGATTCGGGACCGGTCCGGGTAACCACCGGGTCCGGGCCCATTATCATTTTTTTTTCCCTCTTCCTAGTTAACCCCCCTCCCACCCCCAACCCCCCAAACCACCCCAAATGGCCCAAAATACCCAACCCAACCCGAAAATTTAAAAAGATTGGGAAAAAAATAGTTTTGGTCCGAACCGGGCCCGGGCCCGGCCGGGTCGGACCTTGTTTTGGGTGACCCGAGCCCGGACCGGAAAACCCACGGGTCGGGCCTACCCGGACCGGTCACTGACCGGGCCACCGGGTCGGGCCGGGCCGGAACAGTGCCGGTCCCGGGCCGGTTCCGGGTCGGGCCACCCGGCCCGAGTCCATCCATATTTGTCCGTTAAAATAGCAAGGCCAAAGATTTAAATAGTTAATACGTAGTAATGTAGTATATATTTATATTATGATTACTTAAATTTGGTGATAGCATTAATACTATAGTGTGGCTTCTTGCCTCTTGAGTGCTTGGGCAGTCTATTTGAGGTATACAGCCCTATAATTTTAAAATTCCCATTATAACCTTGTTTTCTATTTTTCGCGTCTCCTTCTTCATCACCCCTTTCGCTTGTTACTTTCTTTCTGAGAGGCTGAGACACTGAGTCACACCAACAGAAGCCCTCGGGTCCAATTGCGTTTGAATAGATGATACTTAAGCAGGTCAAAAGCTAGCTACCATGACTTCAAATCATAGCCCCTTGTGTGGATTTCTTGTTTGTGCTTTGGGTTGTTATTAAGAAGAATTCCAATTCCACAGATTTCCACTTTATTTATTTTATCAACTCTTTGTGCGTATTTGGACTGAACCTTGTGGAGAGATAGATGTACGGACCATGAATGCGGCTGGTGCGATTAAGGATTGATTGTTGATTTCCTCTCTTGGTCCGTAATGAAGGGATCCGTCACTCCTATCCATTTGTTGGAATATGACCTGGTCTTGATGTGGCTGCTACTACAATTACTAAAAAATGCACTCTCAAGGCCAAAGAAGGTGGTTAGAGGCAAAGAAAAGCGATCACCTTGTTACAAGGACAAATTAGATATTTGAAGTAATTTAGGGGCTGTGATTAGCAATATAGAGGCTGCAAATAGAATCTCCCAATTCCTTAACAAAAAGCCAAACACGATGGAAGAAATGGCTGTAAAATTTGGGCCATTTGAGTGTAAATGCTTATCAACACCGATCTGGGCCATATTAGTTTTATTGCTTTTTTCAGATACACAACTACACAATACCGTGGGATAACAAGGAATAGCCGTTTGCAGTTTCAAGGCCACTTTTAATGCAAAAAGCATTCTCCCTACTCGGCATTTTCCTCCCAAATAAAGAAAATAGGAGTATATTTTAAGGGTGAAACATCTACCCAAATCCAGGAATAACGGCAAGACATGTGGGATCTTTCCAAGGCTTGAATGCTCCTTCCTGAGTAATATTCTGCAAGAAATGAACCGACAATTCTTCTGCTTAATTCGGTATTGAGGTTGCAATTGAAAAAAAAATATCTTGAAATTGCAGAGAGAATGTATTTTAAAAGGCTATAATTGTGTGGCATTGAGGTTAAGGTTATCTTAAAAGGAAATAATTTAACTTCTTTCCAAAACACAAATTTGCGTTATGCCTTTTTATGGTTCAAATCAAACGCCAAAAGTGATTATGATTTCCAAATGTTTGAAATCAACGTTTAGATAACCCATATGTTTGGGACGGCATGGGACAGAAAGAATAGGCTTTCCCCAACACACGCGCAGTCCCAAATGGGGACTTCAAGTTTTAGATTTATGCTAAATTTTATATGAGATGACTCCTACAAAAGCAAAAGCTCACTTCATAATTTATTAATCATTCATTCTGTGTATTCTATTACCAACAGAGTTCCATAGGAAAAACTACTCACCTGTAGCCAAAAGAAAAACCCGCGCAAGATGTTCAACGTTTTATATTTGTTAGAGCCTGCTTGTTCAAATTTGTTGTTGAAATCTGCATTATCAGGAAAAGGTATCAGAAATAAATGGACGGGAGGAAAAGATTACATGCATCAAGCAAGGAAGACATCTAAAATCTTCCAAACAACGTAGTTTACTATTTTCACATCAAGGTCCACTTATTATATCTTTTTAATGAAGAAGGTATTAACTTCCTCAAGAGATTTTAGTGTTTGAACATAAGATGCATTAGAAGGGTACATAAACTAGTAGAAAAAGAGGAGAGAACGAGTATCAATAAGATAAAAAGCAATTTCAAAAAACAAAAACCTCAACATTAAATCCAATGTTGTTAAATTCGAGACCAGAGAAGCGATCGGAAGGGTCTTAAAATATCATAACTCATGGATCGTAAGATTGTAGAGTAAAAGGTATTATGTAAAACTTATAATAAATACCTCCATATAATAATAATAATAATGATAATGATAATGATAATAATAATAATAATAATGACAAGGACATAATTTTAAAATTCTTATAATTCGTTCAAAATAATAATTATTAATTCATTCTTAAATAACACACCATCATGGATTTAGAATAAATGACTTAATGATAGAACAACTCCAGGAATTGTAGAAATTTACAGAAAAAAAATGAAAGAAACAATCAAACTTCCATTAAGGGTGAAAAGAGTGCAGAAAGTTTCCAAGAAACGAGACACCTTGTCCCAATTTTTCCCAGCCCAGATGTAACTGAAAATCAGCCTCCTTGACCTCTCCCAAACTTATTCTATTTATAGTCTCATAGCTCAACCGAAAGTAGTTAATGGCTAATAACAGAAAACAACTATTAACCAACTAGTCTATTTATTTCTCTAGAATTGACCTGATTCCTATCAATACTTCCCCCCCTAAACATCCACCTTGTCCTCAAGGTGGGAAGATAGGAACCAAGCCTGGAATTCAGCTTCCTCCTGGTGCCTCTCCCTTCCCAGTACCTTGCTGATGACGGTATCAGACGTTCCCATACTTCTAGTCCTCTAGATGAAAAACTCTTTACCAGCCATAGCATAGCATTTGCCTCTGATTTCATCCTATCTCTTGAGTGAAACTTCACACTGAATAGCTCATACAGAACTTCATCCACACTCATGTCAGAAAAAAGTTTAAGAGAACTTGAGTCATACTGTATTTCTCTTTCTGAATTTAAGACTTCAACAATCTCCAATTGTATTCCCCAATCATGAACTCGAAGTAGCATTTGTTCCATTATATTGCACACCCTGCTGTCAACTTTAAGACTAGGCTTTTTTCCTTTGTATAATGCACCCATCAGCTGAAAATCAGAAAACTCCAATGCAAAATCAAAAGAAGTAACAATTACCAAAGGGCCATAAGTCCAACGAAAGCCAGGGTTGTTCTGTCCCAGGTAATTTCCTGGCATTCCAGAAGACCTTGCCATAGAATGGACCGGATCACCATAGAAATTTTTTGAAAATTTTGATGTATCAACAACTTCGCCTAGAGCTTGCTGGTAATTCTTAAGGGTCATTCTCTGTATTAACCTTGTGAAGAAATCAAAAACATCAGGAAAGGATTGAGCTGTCTTTGCAGAAATGTCTCCCAACATGAGATAACTTTCAGGTGCTTTAAATGAATCATGTAAGTCAAGCTGAGGGTAGCCTAACATGCTCTCAACCCCTGGCTGCAATTCTGCTTCTTGTACTTCTGCATCTTGCATAAACGATTCCTCAGTTACGTAATCCAAAATTGTACCATAGCCTGAAGACTTTGCCCACTTTACTTGTACCCATTTGGATACCTCAGCAGGTAAAGAACCTGCTAAGTCTTTGACAATTAAAGTTGCAAGTTGCGGTGAATTTCTGCCAAGGTGTTGGAAATGGCTAGACTTGTCAGCATCTTGAATATGTGGGCGGTTTCCCAAGATGATAGCAGATTCCCCAGAGAAAAGATAAGCATGATCCTTATGAACCACTGGTCCCGACCTCTTTTGTTCCAGGCCTGAATTTTCTGAAAACATTTCCCTTGGATGTCGAGGTTGTTGTCTTTTGACAAGAGCAGTTTTATTTTCTGTAATGTCCTTGATTTTAAGTAATCCAGTTTCAGAAGCAATTAGGACTCTACTTCCAAAGAAACATGGGTGGATAAGCAGATCCACAATAAAAACTTGGCTGAGAATTAAATCCACATCGTCTGCAAGATTAGGAGAAACATAATCTGGCCATTGGATAATCTGTCCTTGCTCCTCGATTTCGTCCTTCTTATTCATTTTCTTGATTACAGATTCCGTTGGCTCCATCTCAGTCTTATTTATTGACTGGGGAAAATCTTTCGCAGGTTGAGAAACTTGCGAACTCAGCAATTCTGATAGGGAAGAATCTGGCGACTGCGAGTTGGGAGCTTCTACGTGCGATACAGTTTGCAAATAGGAAAGAACTGATGGCGACTGCAACGAACCTTTTTTTCCGAATTTATGCAGCAACGCACAGTTCTCGATCGTCCTCATCTTGCAGCAGCTTGGTGCGCACTTCGTCCAACCCGGTCCTCATCTCCTTCGTCCAATCTCTTTCTACCTTTTCCTTTCTCTTCGTACGCTTTTTCTTCTCCAAGTTTGAGCGTTTCTCCTTCTCCAGGTTTGAGCGCTTTTCCTTCTCCACTTTTCCGCGCTCAACCTCTTCCGCGAGCTTCACCATTTTTCCGCGCGAAGCCTTTCGCGATTTCGAACTAAGAGAAGCAGTTTGTGACTCCGATTGCGAACTAGTGAGCGACTGTGACGAACTTTGTTTGTCAGATCGCTGATGATGCCTGGTGTTCCTCGATCGGTGCAAGCGCTGATTTAGACGCTCAGTCACGTAAAATTCTTTCCAATCTAGCGTTCGTCTCCTTCACTTGTCGATTCAGATTGTCAAATCTCTCTTCCATTGGCGGTGTCATATGGAATTCTTCCATCGCTCCAGTTTATGGATGTTCTGGAATTATCGATGACTCAGATTCTCCTCCAGGAAGTGGCGTGCTCTGATACCACTGATAGAACAACTCCAGGAATTGTAGAAATTTACAGAAAAAAGATGAAAGAAACAATCAAACTTCCATTAAGCGTGAAAAGATTACAGAAAGTTCCCAAGAAACGAGACACCTTGTCCCAATTTCTCCCAGCCCAGATCTAACTTACAGCCAAGAAATCAGCGTCCTTGACCTCTCCCAAACTTATTCTATTTATAGCCTCCTAGCTCAACCGAAAGTAGTTAATAGCTAATAACAGAAAACAACTATTGACCAACTAGTCTATTTATTTTTCTAGAATAGACTTGACCCGATTCCTATCACTTAAACAATCAAATAAAAACAAAGGTACGAAGAAAGGCAAAGAAAAGTACAGAGTACTTTTCTGTAGAACTAATAGAATTCATTGGAGTTGAATGCTGAAATGTTGATTTCCAGTTCCGACACAAACGGTTGGTGGCGCTTGATGAGTTACTATTTCTTTTATTTTTCCTTAGTTCTAAAATAACATTCCTTTTATTTTGCTTTGTATGTAAGTTTATATGGATTGTTTCGTTCTCTTTTTCCTTTTTCATAAACTTCGCTGTGATGTCAACGCTTCGTGCTCAACTCTTTTTTTTTCTCCTTTGGGCCTACATTTCAAAGATCTGACATTAGATTCCAATTATAAGCACAATCTGGATAGATATAGTGCACTCTACACGTTAGATCAAACGATCTTACAAGTTTACTCACGATCTTAACGACGGTTATTAAATCACAAAATCCGTCAAGTTTATTTCATCCGAGAAGTAAAGTGACACCCCCAAACCATATGAAGATACAATCAAGATGATTACTTAACCCTGGACAAATGTTTGCACAACATTAAAAAATTACCTTCAAAATAGTCAAGATAAGATTTTCCAATCCTATCTAACGGGCAATACTTATCTCTCCCATGCCGTAACTCCAAATTTCTTTCCACAGGTTTTTGGAGTTTGGCATCATGCAAAAGCTTTTCATATTCCGTTTGGTCAAAGGGTCTCTTGAGGAAAGTGATGACCTTCTGTCTAAATTCAGAGCCCGCGTCCTTGCACACAGGTTCAAATGTGTTTCCTACCTGAAAATTATTACAAAGGGCACTACATTTTAAAAAGTTTGCATTAACTGAAAAAGAACAAAATAGAAATCTGCCATTGGAGAAATATACAACCTCGCAGTAATGCATTTGAGGGGAAAATGAATGAGATCTTCCTACATTAGAGAACTTGGAATAATCTATTTCAACAACCTCATCATCCCCGGAATCATCATGATCATATTCAACAGCATGCTTATTTGGAGACACAGTTTTAGATGCATGCTCTTCACAGTGCACTTTCATAGCTTGCAGGAGAAGAGCATAATCTTTATCTACATAATTTTCTTCAAGTACGGTCTGTGAAGTTTTCTGTTTTTTCATTGAGTTGCTCCTCGTAATACGCCTCTGTACATTCTTATGAATAACTCTTTCTCCCTTAGGCAGCGGAGTAAATGGTTGGACCATTTCGTCCTCCTTGATGTTTGGAGCCTCAGAACTTCCCAGGCCACCCTTTGCACCATTTGACATTTTCCCCTTCACATTCTTCCAATTGTTTCCTTCTACTTTATCTCCTTTCCTCCCCTTCTTCAGTGCACACGTGAGATCATCATTTCGATCAGCGTTGTGGTTCCCTTCTTTTTCATAGTTTATGAACGTGCGCACTCCATTAGCTTCAAATGCAGTCGCATAAGACACCCCATCATGTTTAAAACTATTCAAAAACATCATATAGTCAGGATCATAGTCTTTATTGCCATTTGCGTCATCTTTATTATGGTCTGGATTATATCCCCTTTCAGCATCACCTTCTTGATGACTGCCATATCTGATTTCTAAATAACGCTTATAATCTCCGTCGATCATGATCTCCTCCTCAAAATTGGAACCATCTGAATCATGCTTCCTGTTCTTCACTGTGCTTGAGAGATTATTATTTTCATCCCACTCATCGCTAGAACTCCCTTCCTTCTCATAGTCAATAAACATCAGTAATCCGTTCTCTTCAAATGCAGTTCCATAAGACACCCCATCATGTTTAATATTATTTAAAAACATCACATAGTCAGGGTCATAGTCTTCATTGCCATTTGCGTCATCTTTATTATGGTCTGGATTATATCCCCTTTCAGCATCGCCTTCTTGATGATTGCCATATCTGATTTCTAAATAACCCTTGTAATCTCCGTCGATCATGACCTCCTCAAACGTGGAACCTTCTGAATCATACTCCATGTTCTTCACTTTGCTTGAGAGATTATTATTTTCATCCCACTCATCGCTAGAACTCCCTTCCTTCTCATAGTCAATGAAAATGAGTAATCCGTTCTCTTCAAGTGCGGTCACATATGACTTGATTCCTTTTTGTTTAGTGTTATTTAAAAACATTACATACTGAGAGTCAAAATCATCATTGTCATTGTTAATAGGATTATCACTCCTTTCAAGGCTTCTTCCTCTTTGAGAACTGATGTATTTGATTTCTAAGTAGGACAGATAATCTTTATCTTCAAAATGTGACCTCCCATAAAGGTTCCTTACCCGCGCAGTCATTGTCTTGCAGAATATATATAGGCAATTCTCAGGACATAAACCCTATATTTTCCTCACAGGTGATTGATTCACGAATTATATTGTCACGTGCATTTAGAGAGAGTTCCTCAATTCCTACCACCAGCTTTAGAAACAAATAATATAGCTGATTGTGAGTTGCAAAAAAAAAGAGCACCTATGTCGGGCAGAGGGAAAGAAGTAGAGCTTGAGTCGGCGGAATGCGTCACCTGAAAGTCGCCGTAGAGAAGGAGGTTGGCGGATGATAGAGGGGAGCAATTTATGTGTCAGTGACGATGATGACATTCGACTGGCTTGCGCTGCTCCAGTCCATGGGCTTTGCTTAAGAAGGTAAAAAAAGTACAAATATGTTATATGTATACACAAAGTGTACACGCCCACACTCTATAAATACTTCTCTATTTTTACACTCTCTCTTTACATCTTACCCTTCTCCCTCCCTTATTTCTTTTTTCTTTGTTTCTTTCTTTTCTCCGCAAAAGAAATGTATAAATGTTGCTTTAACTATTTATATTGTCACGTTTTGGTATTTTAACTTTTAAATGAATCAAAATAGTACTTTAACTATAAATAATTGTTTCAACTTGTAATATTATTCAAATTTTTGACCAAAAAATCATACATGACGGCCGAAATTTTATGCGTAAAATCCAATTCACCTTATCTTTTGTCCATGTAATCACTCTATACGTGGAATTTTGATCGCCATGTTGGATTTTTTCACCGTATATTTGAATAAATATTCAATTTGAAAAATTAATACATAGTATATAGTTATGGTACTTATTTGATTCATTTAAGATAATTTTTTTATTCTTTTAAGATACGGAGTATAAGATACCAAAACTCAACTATATCAATAGTTACGGTACCATTTATGCATTTCACCTCCCAAACAACTCACTCGTCCTGTTTCTCTTTTCCTCCATTTTCATCTTCATCATCTCCCCTTTTCATCGTCTTGTTCATCTTTCATCACTAACATCATCCCATAATATTTCATCTTCACTATCTCCATCATCTTCCATTTCCATATCTTCCATATCCATCATTTTCATCACATTTCATATCCATTACATCATCATTTTTACAATAATTAGCTTATAGGATTGGGGGACAGAGAAATTTGAGTCACCGGAAAGTCATCGGAAAGTTAGTTAATATTCGTCGGATTTTTTGTCTGTTTTGACACTGGTTTTTTTCAGTGTTTGTGTGCCCAGACAAACTTGTTATGAACAAACGAGAAATGTACAAATTGTATATGCACAGACAACTAAATATCTGCACACATATATTGGTTTCCGTGCAACCAAACGCCGTCAATTCTACCATGCATCACAAAACTCAATGTTCGTATACACATTTAGTAGTCTCTACACAAACAATTTATATATATATTTTTTTGAAATGAACAATTTTGTCTATGTGCCGAGACAAATTTTTGAGCACAGACAAAACATGAAGAATTGTCTGTATACACACAATTAAATGTCTGTGCAGACACATTGGTTTCCGCGCAACCAAACTCTGGCATTTCTGCAACACAACACGCAAACCATTGTCTGTGCACTGACGTTTAGTTGTGTGTACACAAACAATTTGTATATTTTTTGTTCGTTCTTAAAAATTATGTCAGTGTACACAGACATTGAAAATAAGCAGTGCCTGTATACACAGAAAAAATTCGGGTGAATGTTCATGTATAATTTCCCGACGAATATAAATTCGACAACTCAAACTTTTTGTTTCCAATAGACTCTAAAAGATCATAATAGGATGATGGGGTGATGGATATGGAAGATGGTGAAGATGGGAGATAGGATGATGAAATGCGGTGAGATGGGTGGAAGTGGGAGATGGTGAAGATGGAGATGAAATGGCAGGGGGACTAAGAGGAAGTGGGGGGTGTTCGTATGATGAGAGGAGGGAGAGAGGGAAAAGTAAAAAGTGAGAAGCTTATAAAGGATGTAGGGGTGTAACACCATCCCCAAGTATATTTAATTTTATCAAGTTATGTATTGAACCTTGAAAAATGAGTAATTAATGATGGTCCCAGATAGAGGTAAAAGTCTAGAGGGGGTGAATAGATTTTTAAAGCTTTTTTCTACTTTAAAAACATTCCCCAACTAGATAGAGTGAACTATAACCTTTTTAGAGATTATAGATGCACAGCAGAAGTCTTGACCTCTATGAAAACGGTGGAGATAACTTTCTAGTAGATGGATGTGTGAATTAAGGTAATTAGCCAATAAGAGTGTTCAGGAAAGATACTTAGCTGAGTCACATAATGGATTATATGTGAGCACTTGGCTGAGCAGTGGTATTGGCAGTAGGGTACTGCTGAGCCAGCCGCTGAGTTGAACTTGGAGATTTAAGAGGTATGATTATGCAAGCTTCTGGGGTGAGGCAAGGTAAGGCTAATGTGGTCTTCAGATGTCCTTGAAAGGTGAATTTGGATGGGCAGTTGACTTAGCAGTTGGATGAAGTGAGGCAACTGCTGAGTAATGAGCTTCTTCTTCCAGGAACTGTGTTTGGTAAAATAAAGTGCTAGGCTTTGGCTATCTTGGGTGAGTGTTTGGTGTGTGCTTTGTTTTAGAAATGAAAAATCAACACACGATGTATGCTTGGTTCAGAGGTGGTGTAATCCTCTTATGTCCAGTCCCACCCTATTTCAGATGGATTTCCACTAATGTATTCATCCCAATACACTTAGTGACAATATAGTCTTTTTCACAAAAGCGACCTAAACTGGAGGTGTTTCACAAGGAGTACACACCACTCCAAGTTACTCAGTCCTTAGATTTGTCTCGATTGATCCAGTGGGAATCAAAATGTACTCTATCCTATCTAACCACACTTATGACTAGAACAGCTGTCCTCCTAAGTGTTTACAACGTCTTAAGAATAACACAAGAAAATACAATTCCAACTAAAAACTAAGCTCTAAAAATATGAAAATACTGAGCAAATCTAAGAGTTTAGTGAAACATGAGTCAAGCTAGAGGTTAAGCACTTTTCTTGCTGGATATCTCTTGAATGCTTAGTGTATTTCTCTACTTTGAAGACTCAAAACTTAGTTTTGAACTCATGCTTCGGCCTGCTTTTATAGGCGTCTCTGTTTGATTAATCTCATCCGTTGGTTGAGATGAATTAATCCTGTTTGTTGAATCTTTGTTTCAGAAGATAACATATTGTTGTTTGTCTTCTTTTTCTGGAGCCGATTTGTTCTTTGTCTTTGCTTGGCTAGCCGCTGAGATTTCTCCTTTATAGGGATCAACTTGGTTGTGCGTCTCATGATCCGGGTCCCACGTACGACTTTTGCATTAAATGTCCTCCATGCTGGATATCTTCAATTTGTGTTCCAGTTAGTAATTTTTTGTTTCGAAATACTTTGCGCCATTTTTGGCTTAAATAAATTTAACTAGTAGGGTATAAACATCCTATTAAGGTAATGATATTACCTTATTGCATTTTTTATTTCCAGTTAAATTTATTTGCTAACAAACGACCTTCAATATTTCCAGCAAATTAATTACTCAAGTCAATGATCAAAATACAGGAACTTTTAAATGATAAGAGCGACATAAAAGGGGAACCTTACAAAAGATGGCATCATCAAAAATATCATATCATCATATTCATCAAAATCTAGGGGATTAACAATTTCCCCCTTATTTTCGATGATGCCCAAAAAGTAAAATAAACACTTAACATGAGTAATTAATTTTGTTTTAAAAGACCTAAGTGTTTATTCTATTTCCCCCCTTTTTGGGTAGCATCAACCACTCATTTTGTCCTTCTTCTGCTTGAAGATTCTCCAGGGACTAGATTGGTGGTTGTTTTTCTTTTTCTTCTTTGCTCGTCCGCCTTTGTGAGCTCATGGAGTTTGGTGTAGTAGACGCGTCGGATGGTTGTCATGGTCAGTGCATCTTCAACACTTGTCACTTGCAGCCAGTTCAGAACGAATTGTTCTTCATCTCTTACGAATGAAGCGACCTGGAGGAGCATGTTCATTGGAGCCATCCTCCAGTTCCTCCATGTGAGGACTCTTTACTTGGTGGTCAAGGGCTTCTTTCTTCGTATGAAAAAGGAGTTTCGATTCAAGTAAAGCAATATTTTCCATTTGATGCGGAGTTAAGGCAGCTTTTTGTCCTTGTTGTGAGGATGTCAATTGTGGAGGGGCCAGAGATAGTTCAAGAGACATTTCATTGGAGGAGTTGTTAGCCATTTGAGCGAATTAAAAGGTTGAAAGGAGGTCTGAAGAAGATGAAATGCGGAGCTTTGCGATGTAGGAACAAATGCTCGTTCAGGAGGATTTATAGCTAAGTGTTTAGACCGTCTCTTCGTGTTTCAAGAATTATCTTTCAAGTAATCGAGCCGTTTGTGCTTTTAATTTTAATGCTCTAGCGGCTGGTTCTCTTTTCATGAGAAAGTGAGAGAATATTCATTAAATGATATTACTGATCATCATTAATGAAGCCACTGATTAAACTACTTGGATCAACATGTGTCGTTCTTGCATGTTGCATGTTGCCATAAATCCCTTTTGTATTGAGATAGTCTGACACCTTCTTTTTGCATGGCTGATCCGTACAGGACTTCCTATGTTTTCTCCCTTTGATATGTTCCGAACCCTTTTTGCATGGATTGTTTTACTTTAGAGATGGACAATTTTTAGGATATTGTTGTTTAGCCGAATTTGGCTAATTAACAATAAGCTTCTAATTTAGGACGCTAATATTTTGTAGGTAGCTAGAATTTTATTAGGACGCTGCATAAGGGCTGGGTGCTTCTAATAGAATTAAGACTTTTACAAAAATAGTAAGGTGCTACTTTCAGTCCATTTTTGAGTTGTAGAGATCAATGTCGTACCTTATTTGGAATGGGTTCAAAATTCCACTTGATTGTGATTCCAGTAAGTGGGCCAGCCTTTCTTTGTCCCTTTTTGTTGACAACCTTTCTCTCAATCTTGTGAGGCAGCAAGTTGGTTATTAGTCAACTGTGGAGCCTTCTACTAATTAGCTTTTCCTTCTTCCTCTCTTTTGAATTGAGTATACATTCCCCCTCAGTAGGTGCTTGATCGTTGCTAGGAATTCCCCCTCAATTGTTGCTTTAGGGAATAAATTTCCTCCTTAATAGGTGCAGGGTCATTCCTTCAATTGATCAAGATCATCTAGCATTCCAAGCTCTTGTATGAGTATTGAATCTTGTTTCATTCAATGGCTTGGTGAAGATATATGTGATTTGCTTCTCTGTGGGAATGTATTCCAGTTTAATGGTTTTCTTCTCAACGTGCTCTCTTATGAAGTGGTGCCTGATCTCAATGTGTTTGGTCCTTGAGTGAAACACTGGATTGTGGGTGATTGCAATAGCACTTGTGTTATCACATAGTATGCTAATTTCTT